TATAGTAATACAGTACAGTAACAGTTCGTAGAATATTGGTGATGTGATGCATCATAAGACATGTAGTGACCGCACGTAATAATTTCACGAATATTAGAGCCCTAAATTTTGTTCGTTCAATCAAGGGGTGTCAATTTCAAGTCACGGGTCGGGTTCGGGTCGAATCCGGAACTGACCCGGATTCAAACGGGTCAACCCTAACCCGACCCGGGTAGATAAACGGGTCGGAAATCCGAACCTGGACCCGACCCAGCAGGTTGCCGAGTTGACCCGAAACGTGTGGGAGAGCGCGGGCGAGAGGCAAGCTCGAGTGTGCGCGGCTAGCGTGGGCGAGCGCTGGTGCGCGCGCGAGCTAGCATGGGCGAGAGAGCGCGGGAAGCCTCGGGCCCGAGGCGCCAGAGCTGGCAGGTGCTGCATCTTGCGCTGGTAGCTGAGCGGGCGCTGTCTGGGCAGCCGCGGGAGGTGCGCGGGCAGGCGGGGCAGTTTCGCGGGCAGGCGTGGCAGCGCAGACAGTTTAAGTTAAAAGGGTTCGCGAGCCGTCGGGTCAACCCGAATCAGACCCGTTTTTCAAACGGGTCGAATCCGAGAACTCGAACCCGACCCGTTTTGAAATCGGGTCGTGTCCAACCCGGATTTTCCAGGCCAGGTTTTCGTGTCGTGTCAAATATTGACACCCCTAATTCATTCTATTGAGTCATTTTATCTTGAAAATCAAATGGTTTATAGTATCGAATCAATCAAATCGAACTCATATAGAAGTCGAATTCTTAACTTAAAATAGTTTTTTTTTTTCTAATTGGATATATTTTGATAATGACAAAAGTTGAATTAATTAATTTGAATAAGATCGAATTTATAAAAAAAAACCAAATTGATCTTTTTTCAAACAGAAAAAAAAAATAAAAGAATTTAATTTTGATCGAAATTTGACTGTGTTGAAAAGTTTTTTTTTTTCTTCATATATAATTTATTAATAGTAAATCGACACAAGTTTTTAATATTTGTAACTTGGTCAAGAGGCTCATTGATTGTACTATGAAAATAATTAATGTGTGAATTGAAACTATTCGTTAAGTCAGCATATATAACATTTTTTCTTTATAGTACATCACATGTTTTTCAAAGCCCACTTTGTATTTTCCTCCGCTTCAACTTTCTAGTCTTATTTTGCTTGCCAAACAACAAGACAACTTTCACCAACACCCCCATTCAAATTCACACATTTACATTGGATCCAATGACAAGTTGGGCCCCGTCCTGTTGCCCACTTGATCCCTTCATGGATATATTAACCACCCATCTTCATCATAGTTCTTCATCCTTTATGAAGAAATATTTACGTGCGGATGTCAAATGCAGCTCAATGTATGGAGGCGAATCGGGTGCAGCCGTGTCAGCGGTACTGAGTTGCGGTACCGAATGATGAAGTTTTTTTTTCTTGTAATTTAAATTTCCAATAACCCTAATATTGATGGGTCTATCCTATATTAAGATTGTGCTTGTGATTAATTAAATTGCTATTTTTTTGCAGGTATTTAATTAAGCTACATGAATACTTTAAATATATTTTAAAATAAATATTATATTTTTATTTTTTAAATTTATTTGTTTTATTGTAAAATGAATTTATGACCCCCACTGGGCTTATTTGGGTTGGTGGGCGAACATGGTTGGGCTCCCCCTAACCCATGTTCGATTCTCCTCTTATGCGGCGCGACTCCTTAAGTATAGGGAAAATAATCGCAAGTCCTGCACCTATGGGGTTGGTTGCTGATAGGCTCGCCAATGGTTTAGTAAACCCACCATGGGTCTCCTAAGAGGGTGGCAGCGGGTATATACCCCCGTTATCAAAAAAAGAAAAAATAAATAAATTTATGGAGTATTCTTAATTTCATTGGTTAAAAGATAAACATCCATTAAAAGCACAATGAGGACAGACTTACAGTGGTTATGGATGGTGCTAAGGGTGAGGAACATAGCTATGGATGACACCAACAACATATACAAAACAAGATTGCAACATGATTGGAATCACAACACGGCTTTATAAGATCGCAACACAAAGTCTGGGAATGAGCGCAACTCTTCTTGATCTATTAGTTCAGAGCTTTTGCAAACAACCACGAGATTTTGAGTTCGAAACTTGTGTATATGATGTATGTATAAATTTGCCTTAATTGATCTAAATGTCTAAAAAAAAGGAATGAGATCGAGATAAATTGAGAATATGTAATAAATTCTCAATACAGCTCAATTTAAATGAGCTAAGGGGGCATTCTCATGTCCTAAAAGGCTTATTTTACACTCAATTAAATATATAAAAAAAAATAGAAAGTATATGCGTAATTTTGCTCTACGCTGATAATACAGAGCTCCTGAAACAAAGACAAAAAAGCTTAGAAAATTAATAAGTTCCCAATCAAGAGGACAGCGAGCTTGACCAGTGATACACAGACAAAAAGGGAACAGCATCTTTCTTGTTTAAGCTAAGTAAAGCCAAAACTAATTAAACCGTGCGTTTAATTAAGCAAATTAAGCTAATAAAGATCCTTCCGCTACACCACCGCCACAGGGAGGATACTAGCTAATTCACCATGGACCCACTTCAGGGAACAGGAAGCAGATCGATGGAGACAAGTGGGGGCTTTTTAAGTTTTTAAATCTTTCTTAATATACGTTGTAGCGGCTATTCTGCATTTCTCCTCCTCCTCCTCTCAATTGTTTCTGCAGCCTTCAGCCTCTCTCTATAAAGCCACCTTTCCCTCCCTTTCTCTCACCCTCAAAGTAAGAGAATAGCAGAAGATTAATTGCTTGATCATCCAGCATGTCGAGCCGCCGGAGCAGGATAACAGAAGATGAGATCAATGAGCTCATCTCCAAGCTCCAATCTCTCCTCCCCGAGTCCCGGCGGCGATCCCTCGGCCGGGTAAGTTTCCTGCCGTCCATCGATCGACGTATAAATATCTTTTGAAATTTTTTTTTTTGAAATGTAGTTGAATTGCAGGCATCAGCGTCCAAGCTGCTCAAGGAAACCTGCAATTACATCAAAAATTTACACCGAGAAGTTGACGATCTAAGCGAACGGCTGTCGGGGCTGATGGACAATATGGAGATGAATAGCTTTGAGGCCGAGATCGTCCGAAGCCTCTTGCGATCTTGAGCTCCATCACCGATCAGTTATATATGAATTAACGGTGTTCTATATGTTAAATTAAGTAATTGTAAGTTAGGGTTTAGGCGTGCTTTGAGCTGTACATTATGAATATTATGGGGCTTGGCTTGAGTTGTTTAGGCTACTTAATGGCAACCGAGCGGCTTCATCTTCTCCTGTAGAACTATTATGGCTTTCTACTATTTAATGATTTCGCATTCGCAAATCTATATTACTTGCAGATGGGGAGGGTTTGGGTTCTTTTATGGTTTTGGTACTGTTGTGAAGGAGGAGGAGGACGACTCAGTTGTTGAGTCGTGGCTTGCGCGCGCAGGATATGGGAGATCACAGTGCAGGCGGGCCAGGGAAAATTAAAGTTGTGGGCGGTTTCGTGGGGACCGCCGGCGGCGGCCTGGCGCTGCCGCTGAGCACGACACGCGGTGACCGGGGGGTCCCCACGCGGGGCCATGTTGAGAAGATGGTCCCCCCGTTCAATTAGTGTACGCTCTCTCTCTCTCTCTCTCGCGCGCGGTTAGATGTTAGTTGGAACGGCAGTTGGATTGGAGTGCTGACCGTAACGCTGATATGACCGGTCTGACACTGAAAAAGTTGTTGCCTTTCATAATTTGTTAGTATATATGGCGCTAAAATTTATGCATAATTATAACTTTATAAGTTATGTTTACTCAAATATTAGTAATTTTCTACCTCCTTCGGAAACAAATCAGAAATCAGGTGCAGTCATGTCAGTGATATCAAGTCGCGATATACATCAAAGAGGTGATGTGACACATTTGGGTTGGTCTGCGGACGGCTTTCAGCATCTGCACAGAATAATTAATCATAATAATTAGTGGGAATTTGCTTGGGCAGAATTAAACGAAAATATGATGTGCGATGGTAATTCAACCACAACGAGGATATGGTCATTTTTGTTTTGTTTTTGGACATTTAACTCATTTAAGATAAATTCGCACGCATAATATATATGAAAATTTCGAATTCAAAATTTTATAATTGATACCAACAGATTTAGATGAGATGAGTTCCCTCGAGCATGATTAAAAGGAAATATGAAATGTATAAGAGTAAATCATCAGTTGTTGTTGTTGAATTAAGATGAAAATATTGGGCTTACTGATCAAAGTTTTTTTTTTTTTTTTTTTTTGGCTTTCTGATCAAAGTTTTTTTTTTTTTTTTTTTGATAAAATACTAATATTTTGTCTACATGATTCCTCCATGTTTGGGGACTTTACTCTACTTTTGGAGACCATAAATTTGAAGTCATATGATTGTATTTTTTTTTTTCTACTAAATATTTCAAAAAAAATATCAAGAGATTAATAGAGAAATGAATTCAATTCAAAGATCAAGGAGATAACGAGGCTAAAGCTTCATTTGGGACAATTTTCTTATTACTTTTTAAAGTAATTTTCTCCTGTAAAGATTTTTAGTTATAATTTTTTTTTACAAAAATAGTAAAATAATTATCCCAAACAAATATGAATGTTTGGACAAGTCAAGTCACTTTGATTATGTTTGGACAAGTCAACTAAGTTACAGAGAATAAATCCAAGAAAAGAGGTTATGAGGATAATTCTAGAGAGATTTTCTGGGAGATTTGTCATGTGTGAGATCACATGCATGTTTGATCTGTTGTATTCATGCTCAGCCAGTGGGATCGAGATAAAAATTCACTATAAAGCCCATTTACATAAAGAATGTATAGAATGAACTTGATGTAGCTAGTTGTGTAACATATAAGTTGAATTTGTAATAGAACATGTTTGATTTGTGAGAACCCTTAGTTGATTGTAGGAGTGTCAAAACAGGTTGACGAGCCAATTTTGTGTCCAACCCAAGTCTAGTTAACCCGAGCCAAACCCGTTTAAGAAATGAGCTGAGTCAAAATCAACAACTCAAACTCAACATGCTAGCTACTCAAATGATTTGAATCTGATCTGTTAACCCATTTCGGTTTTATTTGTTTAAAGCTTATTAACTATAAATTATAGAATCTTTGATAAAAATAAGAAATTATACACAAGTAAAAAATTTATTTAAAAAATTAAACGGGTCTTTTTTCGGGTGAACAATGGATTCACATATTGGAAATAAGTGTGAATGGGTTTATAATGATTAACTTCTAAACTTTTAAAAAATAATCTAAGTGTCCTATGTGAGGATCAAGGCAATGGCCTCTTTATTGAGACAAAATTTCATAGTCATATGAACGCACGCTCGAACACTCATTGAGTCCCCAAAAAAAAAGATAGATGCTTCAAAACCTCCTTTTGAAAAAAAAAAATTAAACACCAGTACTTTTAATGAAATATTTGACTCATAATAATAAGCCCCAATTTTGATCAATATACGCTTGAATCATTTAAATTTATTTTGACCAGAATACTACACATATATATGAAATTAATCAAATCTTCTATTGCATTTACCTCAATGTAAATTCAATGATTTAAAATTTATTATGATAAATAATTTTATGAAAATATTATGAGCTCATTTTTTTCTCATATTTAATGATAATCTTACTATAAATTTACAACATATTATATTTTCTCTATATTCTCTAAGCTCATAAAATTTGTTTAAGGACTTAATCAAATTAATGCATTAAGGCTTCATTGGGGATATTGACTTTTCTACTGCTTTCTAAAACATTTTTTTAGTATACAAATTTTTTGAAGTATAAATTTTTTGTATAAAAAGTTGCTTTTGAAAACAATAAAAAAATTCATCCCAAACGAAGTCTAAGGCTTCGTTTGTGACGGCTTTTTTATTGCTTTCTAAAACAAAGTTTTTGTACAATTTTTTTTATTTTTGTATTAAAACTCCGTTTTAGAAAGCAGTAAAAAAGCCGTCTCAAACGAGGCTTAAGTGTCTAACAAGGCTCTTAATTTAGCTCTAGATTTTGAATAGTCATGATAAATATAAATAATTACATTCATTTCATTTATTGTGACATTCTCTGGCTTAAACCTTCTAACTTGTTATGGCTATAATGCTTCACACTCAAGTCATCCATATTGGAATATCAGGACATGATGTGCATCATGACATCATCATGCGCATCATGAAAGGGATGATGATAATGACTACAATAAACTCCATCATAAGTTCCATTCAAATCAACATCTGTTTAAATGTTTAATAATCAAAACTTGAATTGGCTAATGAATTCAGTCTAAGTAAAAAGAATTGAATACATAATGAGAAATAATAATTTGATGTTTTGTATCTACTAATAAGATTTTAAAATTTAATTACTAATAGTTTTTATATTGAAATTTGATCATCAACACAAATATTATCATAATTTTAAGAAATGCAATAATATTTAATATAAAAAATCCTAACAATTTATTTAATTGGTTAAGAATCTAAGTATTTTACATTAAAAGCTGTATAGTTTTATATTCATATATAATAATATTTCTTTATTTTAATAATTTTCTATGTAATATTATATAGTAGTGTGGGGATTTTTTATCAGTGATTAATACTATAACTCTGGAAGGAATCAGTGTCATAATAATTGGAGAATATTATTTTTTCAATATTATAAATATGAGCTGCATCTTTCATGATTTACCTATAATTATTTCAGAAAAAAATAATTACATGCATAATCTTTAAATTGATTTATTTATAAAATAAAAAGAAATATAATTTTTTGAACTATAAAATTTATTTATTTGCACTTACCAGAATAAAAATCCTTAGTAACTTGAACAGAATAAAAAACATAGATTAATAATATGAAGTAATATTTAGATGAGAATTAAAAATTTGATATAATATTATTTACTTTTATAAATAATTAAACCAAACAAAATGATAATCAAAAGCATATAGATCCGACTTGAAAAAGGGTAAATTTTTAATAGGTATAATTAAAATTTTAATTATGTAATTAAGTATTATAAAATAAAAAAATAGAATTAGA